TAAAAAGTATGTTTAATAAATGTGTAAATGAAGTTTGGACCTTAATTAAGGATAAGAGAAATAAAATTTGGATTGGAGGGAAGGGTCAATGAAATGAGGAATAATTGAATTAGAGGTTGGTACCTTTAATTGGTGTGGCTATGTTATAACCTAGGGTTGCAATCGTAAAGATTTAAAATTTGGGTCCTTGATTGAAATGACTAAAAAAATTTGGCAACCTAACTTAATTTTAGAATAGGCCTAGGATAAGGGCCAACTTGATGGAAATTGTGAAGTTATGGATTGGAATTATAGGACTCGATTGTAAAGATTTGAAATTTAAGGGCTAAAATGTAAAGTGGTGACATTTCGAGGGACCAAATAAGAACTTTCAGACCAAGACTTTACATCTCAAACCAGCCACTTCATCCCTAAATTATTGAGTGCATTAATATTCCTTTACAAATGGATGGCTAGAAATTGATGTGGTGGAAGGCTAGACTTTAAAGAAAAGTGGATGGTAGAGATTTAACCAAATGAAAGGCTAAGATTAAAAGATTAATCAAGGATGGAGATGTGACCAAATTAAAGGTGGAAATCAAGTCAAAACAAGAAAAAAAATCAACCACTCACACCTATAAATTCATCCATGATGGAGAAGAAAAAAGGTTAGAAAATTAGAAAATCAAGGTAACCCCACGTCAAATTTTCAAAGTAAATTACATATCAAGCAAGCGAAAACCACTCAAACCACTTAGATAGCCTAGAAATACCCTAAAACACCCTTAAAACCAGATTAGAAGATTAAACAAAGAAGGTGCAAAAAGTACTATTTGGGTTGAAAGTTTGGAGAGAAAAAGGAGAAAGGAAGTCGAAGAAAAATGGAGAATTTCGGCAAACTCAAGTGAGGTAAGTGTAATCCTTACTACACCATAAGAAAGTAATATTTTAAATATATAATTAATGTTAAATTAAATTTATCTTGTTTGAGGTTTGATGGTTTAATTGTTAGAGAAATCAAGTATGCAAAATTAGTGTTCTTGAGGATTAGGTTTTGCTCGAATTTTTATACTCGCTTATTCATGGGTCTTAGGTTGATTTATAAGTAAAGTTTAAAGAATTAAATTTTTTTATATATGTTTCTTTTGAGCCCCTGTAAAAAGGTTTTTTTCATTAGGTTTATATATAAAAGGTTATACTTGTTTTAGTGCGTACTATTTTAGATGACATACTATTGGATAGATTGGCTCTTAAAATTTAAAATTATATTATCAATCATGTGTTTGGTATTTTGACCTAATGTTTAGATATGTTTTGAATTAATATTCCTATTTACTAATAGAAAAAGGATAGGATTTAATTGTGTCTATAAGTTAATATGTTGCTACTTGATTTGAGGTCGCCTTATAATAAACCTACTGGAAACAAATTTGATGTGTATGTATTCTTGATGTCATAAACTTGATGTTTGGATGGTTAATTTCTATTAATCCATGAGTTTAGAGGTTGTACTTTTCCTTATAAGAAGGTGGTTGGATAACCTAAAACATGAATAAATTAGTGGTTTTATTACTTAATGTCTACAAGGTGTTTAATGGAATGCCTTAAAGGTGTTCATGAGGTTAAATGGAAATATGTGAAACTTGATCACTTTAGGATGAATTTTGGCCAAATAACAAATTTTTATTGATTGATAAATTTAACCTAATTGAATTTAAAATGATGAAGAACATGTTAATTTAAGAGGTTAATGTGAGGTTTAGTGTATAAATAGCCTAGAAGTGGTCATGGTTGTGATGAACGATAATTGTTCATGTTGCTTATCATGTTTGTCCATGATATGGTGTGATTTATGTTCATTGTTTGCTCATGGTTGATTTCATGTTATTCTTATGTACTATTAGTGTTTTGTGAATATATAAAATCCTCCATTTTTCATGATGAAATGTCATGTGTTTCATAGATCATGTATCATATTCACATCACGAAATGGTTTTAACCACGTTTTCAAAGACAAAGTCAAGTGCATGATTTGAAGAAAATAACTAGTCATGTCCCAATCATAGTCATAGGCTTAATCATGGCACACGAGGAGAGTGATCAACTCTTTGTGGGCATCACAATCATAGGTTCATGGTTCACATTTGTGAACGTCATAGAGGGGCATGTCTAGTGTTTTTCACAATTTTCATAGGCATGGTTTTCATGAATCCATATATATATATGTTCAGTAGGGTATACCTGGTCATAAAAAATGTATTTTAAAGTCACAAAAATGTACTTCAAGGCATCACAAGCATTCATACACAAAAGGCATCACCCGTATTGCATGGATTGCACTTAATAAGCATCACATTGCATTGCTCACTATTTAATTCTTATGGTGTAGGAAAGAAGAAAAAGGATTAAAGACCATCATCACCAATATATGTCGGAGACTTGCTAAAGATGTGCTTAGAATAACGAAGTATGGAACCTTACCTCACTTAGCTTGGTTTTGATTATATGTAAATAAAAGTAAGGTAAGGAACGTTTTGGCATGTAAGCTAATTGAAAAAAAGATTGTTTGTAATAATGTGTGTTTGGTTGGAATAACAAATTAAATGATATGAGAAAATTGAGAAACAAATTCATACCTAAGTTAATTTAAGAGGACTTAGCATCCCATACTTATTAAAGACCTCATTAGTAAAATTGCCCACTTCACTAATAAATTGATCACGTTAAGGTAAAATTAAAAAGAGGAGGCTTGTCGACTTACGTTCATTGCACTTCAAATGTGAGTCAACGACGATAATACTCACAACCTATCTAGGTCCTAGGTTAGGGGTGTTACAATAGGAGACTTCGTTAGAAATTTTAATTAATTTTATCGATGGCAAAGCATCATCGGTCTCTAAGAATTAGGAGACTCAGCAATTCATCCACCTATTAACTATTAATCTAATTATTGACCTTCGCTCACCTATTAACTATTAAATTAATTTTGAAACAAAATCCTAAAATTAAAATTGATTATTAATTTTTCCTTTTTTATCATTTTTATTTTTTTGTTATTTTTTATTGATGGGGAATCATCGGTAGTCCCTAAGAATTAGGAGACTCGAAAATTCTCTCATTTATTAACTACTACAATAATTTTGAAACAAAATCCAAAAATTAAATTTAACTATTAAATTTACTTTTTTTTGTTTGTCATTTTTATTTTTATGATTTTTATTTTTATTGATTATTTGTTGATAAAAAAAATTATCATCGATCCCTAAAAATTATGAGACTCGATAATTCTTTTATTAACTAGTTATCTAACCTAACTATTAAAATAAATTCTAAAATTTAAGGTTAATTAAATAAATTCCAAAGAAAAACATCTAAAAAAAATTAAATCCAAATTAATGTGAAAAAAAAACACATGGAGAAATAAAAATATTCAGATTTAGGATATCTAAACTAAATCAAAACATGTAAAAAAAAATCTTGTTAGGCCATAGGCCCATTGGGTCAAGCGATTGGCCTTACAATCTATCATTCTTTTCTTTTCTTTTCTTTTTCTTCTCTTTTTGGTCCGAATGGACTAATTCTAGTTTCTTGCCCATATTTTTTTTTTTTTTGGTTGGCGTAGTCTGGATTGAAACCATATTCTACTTGGCTTCTTTTATTTATTTTTTAAAGGGCTACACTAAGGCTAGGTTGGCTGAAACCATCCTAGCCTTTCGTTTCTATAGTTTGGGCTTAGCCCAACTCACGTCCCTCTATTTTCTTTAAAAAGAACTCTAGACTTAAGGCTTTAATCTTACTCAATCATTCAATGAACACACCTTTTATTAATTTTGAACAATATACCCATACATCACAATAATATTTTTAGGAGGGTCTTAAGTCATGATTATTACATAGATCCACGTGGACCATTATGGAAGAAATGTATGAGCAACTTGTCATCATGTACAACTTCGACCATCTTGCTACCATATACTCGTAGCCGAGTCATTAGACATTGGGTGCCCATGTACTTGGTGAATTCAAGAACTATGAATTTCTTAAAAATTACCACATCGGGTACCAAACATATCTCAACCGCTCTTACAAGGTCATAGACTCAGCTTTTTCAATAGCTCTTAAGGAATTTTTTTGATGAAAGATAGTTCATCCATATTAGACCCCTCTATCATCTTAGCTTTGGTGGTTTCCTTACTAATGAAGCCTACATGAGGAGTTTTTTGCATCTCTAACATTTATGAACCCATTGTATAAGCGAATGACCTAATAGGATAAAAAGTATCGGTATGGAATGATGTTGCCCTCAAATTGATTGGTGTTACATTAGAAGGCCCAAGTTGCAAGTTGGGCATTGAGAGGGCATGCGGTATATTACCCCGAGCTTGGCCTTGGGTTAAAGTATTTCTCCCGATTGGTAATGCTAACATGGTCTTTTCCAATAGATTGATCAAATGGACAATTTCCCTTTTTCATTTTATCAAGTTCTTATTGGTAGGTTTGTTCCCAATGTTATCCTTCTTTGTTTTTCATTTAGCGATGCCCGGGTTGGGGTGTAGTGGATTCAAGGATTGCAGTTGAGTTTTGGAGGGATGACCTATATTTTATATCCCGTAAAACAACTCAAAAGACATATGTACAAGTGAATTACAATATATTCATGTATGATGTGAATTAGGTGGATATGTTACTTTGTCATTTCGGACTTTAAATCACGATAGAACTTATGTTGAGGACAAGCCAAATCAGATTTTAGTACTTGCTATGGGTACAACTCCATAGATACTTTAGGCAATTCAAAAAAAATATCTATCCTAATTCTCTTCATTTTTTTGTTTTTTTGAATTTTTGAACTTTTTTTGGTTAGGACCTTGCGTGATGGATGCATCTTCTAATAACATGCATAAGAGAATTTAAAATTTGAATTCTAGCACATTTTAAAATGTGACTTAGAGCCATTTTTCCTTAAAAGACAAAAATAATACAACTATTTACATTATAACGGTCACTTGTTACAACCGGGAATGGCAAACCGACTCGTCCCACCGGGCCCCGCCCCACCCCGCTTTGAATGGGGAACGAGGTGAGGTGTTTTTTTCAACGGGGATGGGGCGAGGTTGGGTTTTGGATGCCTCGCCTCGTTTGCTCCTCTCCATACTTATCTAGTTAGGGTTAGGATTTAATTTGAGTCACTTGATAAATGAAAATTACATTTTATTGGTGACTCGCCGTAGTGTCGTCCGGTCCAGGTGGTCCTTTACTCCTCTTCGTCGTTCTCGCCGTCCAGGTGGTCCTCTCGGCCTCTTACCGGTGATTGTCGTCTACCGAGCACCACAAGCCACAACACACCCGCAACCACGACACCCACCACTACTGACCCGGCAGCCCACCGTGATGCCATTTCGCCACTCGTCAACCACCATAGCCCTCCGTCGGCATCACCCACCAACCACTAGCCACTAGCCATCGACCCACCGGGTAATTATACATATTTTTTCAGCACTCCAGCTTGTCTCTCAAAATTATTAATCCATTTTTGCCACCATATATATGTGAATCTCTACTCTCTAGCCAATACAATATGTGATCCGATGTATGATTTGGCTCGATTCTTCAATGGTCATTTTTTGCTTTAGATAGAAATGACAAAATGGAAATAGGTTTGTAGAAGAGAGGACGAGCTCATAGACTTAATTTCTTGAAAATGTGCTTAAGATAGTACAATGCTATATCATTGTTTTTTTGGATGAAAATGGTCATTTGGCTCTTAGTTTTTTGAAAATTTGCTTAAAATTTCAACTTTATGTTTGGTTCTACTTTATAATTGAACTTGGGTGATTTTAATTTTTAAGCCGGGATTCTAGGCGCCGCCCGTACTCGGAGCACCCGCTTGCTAAGCGTAGGCAAGACACGAGCGTCCGTTGGCCCACCGGCATTCCGGACGCACGTAACTCCCGCGAGCCGGCAGGCCCTCCGAGCGCGAAGTTCTACTTGAGGGCTTTTTTTTAAAAAAAAACTATTGATTACTTCTAATCTCCTCATAATTTTATACCGATTAACAAAAAAATATTTATGTTTTCAAAGAGAACTTTTGTTTTGTATTGGAAATTTAATCTTTTTATAATAGTGATTTTTAAGCTATTGTATATTTTTAGAAAATGACAAGCCATGGAGATGGAGACAGCTCTCATCACTCTACGGACTCGCACCAATACATCCGAATTCCACTCCATCTACTCTAGTTATAGAATCAATTTCATCCGTACAACCTAATGTGGGTGAACTTCAAAGTGATTCGGATCTTCCTTCTAAAAGGCGATATTATTCTATCCGAAATTATTTTACAAGAAAAGCTCGTGAATGGTGAAGAAAAGGTAAAATGCAATTATTGCAAGAAGCAACTTGGAGGCAAGTCAAAGAATGGTACCAAACATATGCATGATCACTTCAACATATGCCCAAGAAGGATAATTGCGGATATAAGACATAAGGTTTTAACTTCTAATTTAATTGGTGATGTAATGTCTAATTCTTTGGATCAAGAGACGGAAAGAAAGGATCTTGTTCTTATGATCATAATGCATGAATACTCGCTCTCTATGGTTGATCATATCGACTTCGGGAAGTTTACAAGTACTCTTCAACCATTGTTCAAATGTCCAAGTAGAAATACCATAAAACATGATGCCTTTAAGATATATGACAATGAGAGAGCCAAAACGAGGAGAGTTTTTAAAATACTCGAAGTAGAATTGCCATCATTACTGATTTGTGGACAGCAAGCAATCAAAAAAAGGATTCATGGCAATTACGACTCACTATATTGATGGTTCTTGGACGTTATGAAGCCAGCTTATTGAGGTACTTTTCATTTCTTATTAACTTAATGATGTTTGTTTAATTATTTTAGTTAAATATTTTAGTTTATAAATAATTTATATTTTGCTTTAGGTTTATGTATGTTCCTTATCCACATGCAATTGCTTTGATTGATTGTTTGATGGATTGGAATGTTGACAAAAAATTATCCACTACTACATTGGATAATTATTTCACAAATGATTCTATGATTGAGCATGTGAGGGATAAATTGAAATCTATAGATTTGTTGAATTTTGATTCTTTATTGCATATGTGGTGTTGTGCTCATATCATCAACTTAATAGTGAAAGATGGGTTGGATGTCATTAAGGAAAGGGTTGAGTGAATTAGAGATAGTGTAGCCTTTTGGATAGTAACTCCTAAAAGAGTTGAGAAGTTTGAGGATGTCGTTAGCTTCCTTCCCATTCCTATCATGAAGAAATTGGTTTTAGATTGTCCAACTAGATGGAATTCTACTTATTTGATGCTTGAAATTGCTTTGTTATATAAGGATTGTTTTTCTAGGTTGAAGCGTCATGAACCTCATTATAAAGTTGCACCTATTGATAGTGATTAGGAATTTGCAAAGGAAATGTATGGGAGATTGAAGATCTTTTATTGTATTATTGAATTATTTTCGGGAACTAAAAGCCCCACATCTAATTTGTTTTTCACTAAAATTTATGAAATTAAGATTGCATTGACTCACCGGCTCACTTATCCTAATCAAATGGTTAGTGAAATGGAAGAAAGTATGTTAGTCAAGTTCAATAAGTATTGGAGTGTGATTTATGAAATATTGGGAGTACTCGTAGTTTTAGATCCTAGGTACAAAATGGATTCACTAGAGTTTTATTTTGAGAAAATTTATGGGAGTGAGGGTATGGTTCAAGTTAAGAATATAAGGAAGCTTTGTTATAGTTTGGTAGTTGAGAACAAAAAAAATATAAAGGTGGATGAAGGATGTGGTAGCTTTTTTCGGATGATTCTTCAACAGTTTTAGAGGAATGGAATCCGAGTTTGACTTGTATGTTTCAAGGAAGAAGGCTAAGGCTACTCTTGTCAAGACAGAACTAGATTAATACTTAGATGAAGGTGTTATTGCAAGAAACAAAGATTTTGATATTCTAATGTGGTGGAAAGTAAATGGGATGAAGTACCCTACTTTGATGGCAATTGCTAAAGATGTGTTGGCAATTCCTATGTCAACCCTCGCTTCGAGTCGGCTTTTAGTACTCGGTGGTAGGCTAGTAAGTCCACAAGTAGACTTCATCCAAAGACGGTAGAAGCATTAATGTGTGCTCAAAATTGGTTGTGGGCAGCTGAAAATAAAGGTAATATACTAATTACTAAAACTCTTTTTTTTATTAATTTCTTATAATTTTTACATATGTTGTTTATGTTTATTATATATTTTTTTTAGGTGGAACTCTATTTGTTTTAGATGGTTATTGTACTATGTATGAGGAGCATTCAGAAGAAGATGAAGGTATAAAATAATATGTCAAAGTTTAAATGATAGCATGAAAAAATTTTGTGACAACTAATTCACTTTTAATTTAATGAATGTAGGATCTACAATAATCAATGATTACGTCGAAGTGTAATATGATGATTGAGCTTTGATGATCTATGAGTAGTAAAGACATGCAAGGATTTGTTTTTTTTAATTGTATTTGTGATATTAACGGTTATGATATTTTATCGCTTTAATTAAATATGTTATTTATTTGATTAAAAAGAATTTAATATATTATGAATTGTGTAGTAAACTTGTAGTTGAATATGATGTTAAATGATTTTTTTTTAATTTTTAATTTTTATATGAGTTATATTTTTTTTGCAATAGTTTTAAATTTTATAATAGAATGGGCGAGGCGGGGTAGGGTGGGGAATTAAACGAGGCGGACAAAAATTTTTCAACGGGGTCTCGATTCCTCGCGAGGATCCCCGTCCTCGTTTAGGATGGGGATGGTATGTGAAGTAGCACCCCAAACGAGGTATGGGGCAAGAATGGGGCAACAATTGCTAAGAGCGAGGTGGGGGCGGGGATGGCCCATTGCCATCCCTAGTTACAACCATTGAAATTATATTACAATGCTAGTAATATTTTTGTCACATGCGGTGAGAATTCAAATTCTACTCTTCACGACTTTGAACCTCGGATATGAAGCACTAGTGGCTATAAGGTTTTTGTGCCTTATATAGAAAACATGAGCTCCTTTTTAGTAGTGTACTTGTTACTTATGACCTTCTTTATATATATATATATATATAGTTTTGACATATAATATATGGGTAGACGAGTCTCCTTTCTCAAATTGAGTCTACTACGATCCGGCTCTAAAATCCTCAATGTCATGCTCTGTCATGATTTGTTTAGATGATGATTTGTAAAAACAAGGCTTATAATTGACATCATTTAAAGATAGTTCATATCTTAAATGGAAAATATAATGGATATGATCTAGCTTTTTTAGGATTTAGGCACAACTTATCTAATCCTAAAGTTTGTTTTAAGTTTTTGGACTCGTCTAAATTACTAATGGGATAATTCAGCCTCTAACCTTATACACCAAAAGGTATGAGAAGGTCATTCCATTATTTCCTACGTATAGGGTGAGTTCCAAACCAAATAAGAGTTCGGATGAGCATCACTCTACTTTCATCATACTTACCTCTGAATCTCTCTATCCAAATCCATAAGTTTTTTTTTTTAAAGCTCGAGTCCGAGCTTTTGTAGGATTTTTATTGTGATATGTGCAATAGTTCAAAGAAAATACATATTTAACCCGAGTTCATAAAATAAATATGTACAGAAATTAAAATGCAAGAAAAATAAATTACATAAAGTAAATAACTTGAAATTAAATAAATGATAAATAAGTACTTGAAAATAAAGAAATTGGATGTAAATGACAAAAATAAATAAAGGAGATAAACTTCAAAAAAGTTACACCTATGGCCTAACTTTAATTCTCCAATGGAGTCATCATTTGTTACTACCCATTGTTTGCAAGACTCTAAAAAATTATTGTTATTTATTGGTTGATTTTTTTGTTTTTGAGGTATAAGTTATTATTGATTTTGGAGTCGTCATCTAGTATTAAGAGACTACAAACCTAAAATTGATATTAGTTTAAAGATTCTAAGACAAGGAGTTGGTTATGTTTTGAGAAAGATATCAATTAGCCAAAAACACTATTTTCTAAGAAAGGTATCGTGTTTTGTTTAATTCTGAAATTTATTTTCTAAAAATTTCTATTTTTTACAAAATTAATCCTAAGTTAAAATTTCAAGTTTTATTTCCTAAGCCAAATTATTTTTTATTTTTCTTTGTGGCATCATATTGAATCAATCGTCAAACCCCTTCGTTAGGGGTTCATCAATTCAACATTGGATTCGACTTAAGTCTCAACATAACAAGTATGTCAAAAAATAACCTAATTATTGAGATAAAAATTACAAGTTTTTTTATTTTAAAACATGCGATAAAAACTTTATAAAAATCATTTTTTATCTTTTCTATTTGCGACATCATATTAAATTAATATCAAAATTCAAGATTTGAGAGTCTTGTCTATTTAGCATCGAATCCAAAT